CTACCACACATTCTCACTCCTCTCTCTGGTTGCAGGTTGTTGCTTAGTTTTTTCTCCCCTTCTTAGATCTGTTATCTCAGAGGCGCTACCCCACTGATGATGGGCTCGGCCTTGGCCGGCGGTGGGTCTGTCTTGGGGGCGCCTTGGCTGGCCAGTGGCAGGTCCGTCTTGGAGCCGGCTGGCATTGGCTCTGTTGGACACAGGGCAAGCTTCCAGCAGCTTCTCACAGGAGCCACCTGTGTAGCCCCCAGGCTACCAAAACTTTGCCATGTAAACCCAGTACACCATCTTAGGATCACGGGCTTTAGGCTGCAACAGGTCTGCTAAGAACTGACTGATCATATTGTGCGAATTCCTTTTATGGCTTGTTACATTATATTCATTTCAAGTACCTGTATACACACACACACACACACACACACACACACACACACACACACTTGTATATTTTATTGTACAATGTTTGGGTTTTGGTAGTTCCTCGCAGACTGTAGGAAAAAGCAGGAAGTATACTCACTACTGTGGCCTATATAAGGGGAAATGAGGGAGCTGCCGAATTCTTGGCAGCTTGGGGTGTGTGAGGGGGTGTTGCACATGCGGATCATTTGACTCCCACCCTCGTGGGTGGGAGTCAAATTAGGAGGTTTCAGTTCATTGTGAGATGTAACTCTTTTGGGCTTGTTCATTAAATTTCAACTAAATTAATCTCTGCGTATTGTTATGATACCCAAATAGCCTGAGTGCAATGAAATCCTAAAATCATGAGTATCAGCCACATTCTATTGAGATCTGGTTTTGTGAACTTAGTATTCTAACTTTAAAGCCTACAGCATATTAGTTTGTGGCATTTCCGAAAGTGACACATAACCTTTGGGCTTTAAACAGCTATTGGTTTAAGTCTCTGGGAAAAGCAACAGTCTGAAGTTTTTATGGAGAAGAGAATCTTGGGTTCCATCTCTTGGGAATGTCTCTTAGAATCCCAGAGATGGGCAGAGAAGCTCTTTCTATACCCAGTCAGCTGACATGGAGATAACCAGGTACTTGTCATTTCTCATGTTTCAAAGGTGGCAAATCTCAGAATTTGTTTTTTCCTTCTTCCTACTTAATGTTCAATGCTTTCATCCAGAAGACCTTGAACTCCTTAGACATGTAGTTGGCTTTGTGAACTGCACAGACAAGCTATCTAGATCCAGCATGAAAATACTGGGTCTACAGTGTGCAATGGTAAACAGTAAGGTGAATTAATGACTTGCTAGCAGATGCAGGGGTTTAAAATATTTGTGTCAAGATAAAATAGCCTTTTGGAAAATGGTCTTCAAGTTTGTTATAACTTAAGGCAAAATGAGGGACTGCTGTGTCCTTGTTACACAGTAGGGGAGATCTTGAAATGCTAAGGCTGCTTGGAACACAAGATTTTGTATCATTGCATGGTTTTCATCTGCCTCTTGCCACCATTTTGTAAACCTACCAGAAGTCATTGTGTTTCTTGCAGGATAACTGAGGAAAATGCAACCTATGTTTTAGAGGCTGTCAAGCTAGATAATTGCCCATGACAGTCTTGTCCTGCTTTGAATCCAGAAAAATATAAAAAAAAATTGGGAAAGGACACTGGCACCATTTAAGGCTAGCCTGGCACTTAAAGCGGATGGCAGATGCTCTCTATTAACCCCTTCTTTCCCCAGAAGGGGAAAGAGAGGAGAAAAGGGAGAGAGGCTTATGGGGTGGAAAATTAAAACTACTTTAATAAAACAGTAACAATGAAAAAAAGCATAATAATAGTAATACTAATACTACTAATAATGGGAGTTAAAAAAATACACAAAATCAATATTGAACTTCCCAATGATGATCACAGGATTGCGTGCCGTGGCAGCGTGAGCAGCTGAGAGGACTCTGGCAGGACTCTGTAGCTGACAACAACCTGATTCAGGGATACATGGATTGGGATCGGAGACAGGAGAATGAGCAGGGTCCCACAGGGATGCCGGCCATGAGTGAAGAAGGGCTGACTCCCTTGATCCCTTAACTTTATACTGAGTGTGATGTGTATGGGATGGAATACCTCGTTGGTCAGTTTTTGTTCATTTGTCCCATTTGCACTTTCCCACAGTGCGACCCTTTTATGTATTTTCACTTGTGCAACATAAGAGAGCCAACAGTGACTTTGGTTCTGCAGGGATAAGTATAAACATGGACCTTTCTGCATACCAATCCTACCATTACTTTAGTAACAGCTATGAACATCAAGCGTTATCAATTCTGAAAGCAGGCACTGTCTGAAAAATGTGTAGCCAGCTTCAGAAAGTGCAGTTACTTGGAAGAAACTTCACTGAAGGAAAAAAATCTGCTGAAAGGAGAAATAATCCTGTTTTAGCCAAACCAGGGTAGATGCTAATGAAAAGCAGGCAGACATATCCTTGCCCGTAAGTCCATAATTAAGGCTGATGAGGAATTTGGGATGTTAATATTCGTGGTACAGCTGGACATAGAGCAGAGTGCAGATGTGGTGGTCAGATAGAGTCGAAATGCTGTTCTGTCAGCTTCTTGGTGTTAGCACAGGCTACCCAGATCACTGGACTCCCTCTTCCTTTCTCGACCTGATACATGTGGCTGTTTCAACTTGGAGTGAGGTACAGAGTTTTTCTTAAGATGTTGCAGAGTGAAACATAAATATGTAGGACTGTTATGACAGAAAAACCTTATAGCATATATAGCATATCCAGTAGCAATCTGACAAAGGAGAGCTAAAAACGGGAGAAGAAATAGATGCGATGTTCTGCCGAGTGAGTTCAGAAGGAAAAGCTCCAAATGGCATTAAAAATAAGTTAATGCAAGACATTCATCAAAGTTTGGTTTGTTGTTCCTACATGACTAGTTCTTAAATATGTTTTCCCATAGGGTACCCTCGCTGAACGTATTAGAGCAGGAGGAGCAGGAATCCCGGCATTTTATACCAGTACTGGCTATGGGACGCTGGTGCAGGAAGGGGGTGCACCTATCAAATACAACACAGATGGCACCATTGCCATTGCCAGCCAGCCAAGAGAGGTAAGATGTCAGTTTGTTATTAGGAAGCCTTCTGCTTTGAAAACTGAATTTCTTACATATGTCCAAGATAAACAGTAGTTTAAGCACCTTCTGGCCAAGTTTAACCTTGATATATCAGATTAACAGGATGTCTGTGGTACTAGACACATTAGTTTTGCTCCCACTTCATACTTCTGTCCCGTGTGATGTGTTTGTTATAAAAGTTTTTACAGCTTTAGGGTTACTTAGCATCAAGAACTGGTACAAGTGAAAACCTAACATGCTGAGTGACTCTTCACTTGACAGTTCTCTGACCAGGTTCACTGTGTATTCAAACAAAATCTTGTACCAGGCCACTGCAGTGCACAGTACAGATTGAAAACAACTTCCTATTGTGGGGCAGATGCTCCCTAAATACTGTGATATGGAGTAAGTAGCCTTGCAGCTGTACATGAAGCTTTGGCATTAGAAGAGATGGGATGTTTTCCTGTTAAACAGGGAAGAGCTCAGTTGACACAAACTTTCAGGAAATGCATTTGCCATCAGTTGAATGCAATCTAATCCAAGTATTTGAAACTGCAAAAAGATAAAAAGAGTGCGGCTTCCAATTGAGAAACAAAGGCTTCATGTTGAAATTGGATGTAGAGTTTGGAGAAGGGAAGAGATTTTTCAGTGCGAGAACTGTACTTGAAGAAATAGATGGGGTTAATGCTATATGTTCCAACTAAGCTGCAAATGGCATTAAATTCTGCCTCAAGAACTTCTCTGGGGTAAAGGTAATTTTCCCCTGCTATGTTTTTTGTGTATTTTATACATGGCTATTTTCAGTATCTAATCATTAACTTATTTTTTTTTTCTTTAATTTCCTTACTGAATATGTTGGTTTGATGTTTTACCATTTGAAGGAATGTCTTGTTTATTAAATAGCTTATAATTTTGAAAACATTTTTCTTCTACTTTTAACATTTGTGGAAAAGTCTGTCTTACTCTCCTCAGTCTTTTGGAGGGCTAAAATAACATGATTATTATGATTTGATCGAATTCATTCTCCAAATCCATTTCAAATGCAACTGTCATTTTATAAAAGTTCAGATCTCCTTTTCCAGCACTGGTAAACTGACTTCTAATACACTTTTGTCATACTTCCTCCCCCTCTCAGAAATTTTGAATAGCTCTCAAGTAGTATTTGTGCATACTCTAACCTTCTAAATTGTTAAAAGAAATGCTGTTTCATATTTCTATATAGGATTAAAATACTAACTATTTGTCAGTTACGTATTTTGGCTTCAGGAACAATATCATTACAAATATTGATCATAAATGCAGAGAAAACCAAATGAAATTCAGCCTGCGGTACAAGTCTCAAATCCACTTCCTTTAGATTTGGGGTTTCTGGTGGTAGGCATTGATTATGAACTTTTTCAACAGTTCTCCTTTAGCACGTCAGTTTTTGGTTAGCTGGTAGATGTGCAGGAAGAAGCATGTCTAATTCCAGTAGATGGAGCAGCAGGAACATGGATCTGATTCTCGTTCTGTTTCACTAAACAGAGACACTATGATAAAACTAGGGTTTACAGCCTTTCCATGGTTCTCTGTTATTATAAAGTTGAGCTACAGTTTTTTAGATAAAACTTTAAGTAGTACAAAAAGAAATCTAAATATAATAGTCTGTACAATTAACTCTGTAAAATAAATGCTACATGAGATACTAACTCCGTAAAATAAATACTACAAGACATATCTGTTTGAACAAATCTACATCTCAATAGTGCACTTTTCTCTGTAGGTGCGAGAATTTGATGGCCGTCACTTTATTCTGGAGAAGTCAATTACAGGAGATTTTGCTCTTGTGAAGGCATGGAAGGCTGATCGTGCAGGAAACATCATTTTCAGGTATGACTTGTTTACCAGTGGGAAAAGGTTCTTTAATCATTTAGGTAATGAAAGAGAAGAAGAATCCTGTCTCCTGTGTGATGGCAAAATAATGTTTTACAAATTTCATTTTCTTTCATATTGCCTTTCCCTCATGTCAGCTTCTA